TCTAACGTGGGTGAAACCAAACCATCGCAAATATGGCTTTACCATGGTACCCTCTGGTAATTTAACATAGCGAACTGGAAAATCACCATGATTAATGAGAAAATCCACTATAAATGGCCATGTTCAATAGCTATGTTAAATTACCAGAGGGTAAACCATGGTAAAGCCAACTTCATAAACCATACCCAAGTCATCACTATTTTAATGGGTAGGATTCCAATCATCCGCAGTCACGGTAAGTTTTTTTCCGCATTGGGGTTCCCACATAAAAAAGGGATGGATGACCATAAACCATATGTCACATTGGTGGTATACCCATTATATCCCCATTTTATAATATATATATATATATTACCAACTATATGTTATATCCCATTATTGGTACATATTGGTACCATATGTACCATTTTATTGCATTTTGGTAACCTAGAGTCATCAACAATGGGGATATAGTATAATGATTATTCAATTCTATAACTTTATATAACTATATATATAACTATTTATAAACACACATGATAAATCATAATAATACTAACTATGATTTGGTTTCCCACCGCCACTTTTTTCCACACCTGCAGAGGAAGATGTGGACCATGGCGACTTAGCTCGAACCTTTGACTGGACTGGAGAATTCCAGCGAGATTTTTTTTCATCGAGAAGTGGCACAAAAACCGACTTGGAAAATCACCAAAAAATCATGGCTTTCAATGGATGCATATGATATTTTGCCGTGGGATCATCCCAAGAATCCAGAAAGACTGGGGCGAATCTCCTTGTGAATCATGGAGACTTCCACTTCATGGACTATGATTACCCTCAATATATCAAGGGTACTATAAACCTCGAAAAATGCGTTTTTCTTTAAAAAAACATCAACCATCGCCTGAGTTTTTGAAACTTGCTCAATTGGGATTACAGTAAACTCCCATGTGCTCTACGTATGTTGATCTCTATGTATGGTGTAGTTACCTGCGATTGATGTGGACCATACCAGAATGGGATAACGATTGTAACCAAATCAGATAACCAATCGGGGGGTAGCTATAGCCCAAACATCCACTTATGAAACTCATTGTAACCTCCTGAAATAAGCGGTATTGAGCTGTAATCCTGCAATGATACCTTTAGTTATGACCTCAAATTATAGCTGTTAGAGCCCCTTATTGTGGGAGGGATCACACTTTTCTTACCATTCAGAATGCTTCTTCCTATGGGGGAAGAATCCACCAATCCATTGAGGAAAAGCTGACATGGTCGTAACGCCGTTCTATGTGAGGACAACAACCATTTGACACGGCTTTGAGATACTATAGTTAGAAAAATTTAGAAACACAAATCGTAAATGGTCAATAAGCAAACACCAGTGGTATTTCATGAGATGTCATGCCCAATGATAAAGCATCAATCCTAACTTCCATGATCATCCATGAAGTCAAACTCTTATGTCTGCTGGTAAAAACACCATGTTCTTGATGTGCCCCCATTGATGGGATCCGACCAACTGGGGTTGATCCAATTTAAATTGGGGCTTTAAATCAACCAAAGATCATCAACTAACCAGCTTTAAAGGCTAAGACCCAGTTCTTGCTGTCAAAATAGTTTTGTTTGAGTTATGAAAATGAATTCCTCCGAGAGGTCCAAAATCAAGGAAACAAATGAAAAGCAACAAAAAAAGAAAAACAAATCAAAGAAACAAAAACACACTCAAAAAAAAAATGGAAAACAGAGACTCAACAGAAGACTCAGAAAAAAAAAAACGGAAAACACAACAGAAAAAAAACAACAGAATTGAAAAATAGAAAACACAGATCCACCCGAAGACTCAACAGAAGACTCAATTCCGGACTCAATTATGCATTGTTTCCCTTGTGTTTTGCAACGTTCCGCAGATTTCCCATGTTTTTCCTTCAAAATCGGCATTTCACAGCCAAGTTTTCTTTTGTTTTGTTTTTAATTTGACTATTGACTATTGCGTGTTTATTTTGTGTTTTTTCCTCAGTTGTTTCTTTACATTTGTGTTTTTTTCCTAGACGATTAAAAGAAACAAGTCCAGACTCGACCGAAGACTCAATTCCGGACTCAAAATTGCATGGTTTCTCGGTTTTTCATTTGTTCAGCAGATGTTCCAAGTGTGTCCTTCAAAATCAGCATTGGAAGCCAATTTGCGTTGTTTTTGTTTTTTCTCTCTGACTCTTTTGTTGAGTCTTTGTTTTCCAGTTGCATTGGTTTTGTTGTTTTGTTATGTTCTTCTGATTTGTTTTTTATTTGTTTCGTTGTTTTTTTTGTTTTTCTTTTGTTTTGTGCATTCTTTTTGGAAGCACCACCTCTGAGACTGTTCTGATACAAGTTAAACACCAATTTAATCACCATTTGCATAGGCTAATTCTGAATGAAATCCGATGAAATCCGATGAAAGTCCAAACCTGCATCAGGCAATGACCCGTCCCCCCAAAAAAATTGACCATCATCCAAATTGTTTTCAATATGTTTCAACGCATCTGAACTATTTTTCAGTCAATTAGGATCCTTCCAAGCAGGGTTTTATGATCCCATCCCCCAGATGATCCCCGACCCTGGGGACCCTGGAGCCGGGAAGAAGCGGAGAAAACGCCAATGGTGGTGGCCTCAAGGGAGTTTTAGTCAGCCAAATAATGGGGAGCTGAGCCAAAGAAAAATAGGGATTGGACATGATTTCAATGATTGAACCCAAAACATGTGGAATTTACATGAAATTACATGATTTTACCAAAGATAGGGATTTTTTGAGGAGTACTGTCACCCTCAAACAGTGGGATTTTGGTTGGATTGAACCCCCCAAACATGGATTTACCCATCAAACATAGTTGTTGAATGCTATTGACCCCTAAAACATGATTTTATACCGGAGGTATTGGTCAAACTTGTGGTACTCAAAAATAGGATGGTTCAGACCAAACATAGTCAGAATCTGTGGCTTTTGACCCATACCCATGTAGGGGTTTCACAAACCTGTGCATTTACAATTACACAGTTGGATGCCCTATACTGTGATAATAGATTAGTTGGGAACATATTGGTGCAGCCAATAGAAGAAGAGGCGCAGGTCTGTCATAAATCTATCAATGGATCTGTGGTAGTGGCTGTGATTGGCGGGGTGGGGGTAGGGGGTTGGGTGCAAGTATGAGGAAAGTAATCATAATATTGGTAGATACATTGACCAGTAGGAGGGGTAGGTGGGCAAAGGATATGACCACTACTGTCCAGGAATCCCCAAAAAGGTAGAAACTAGCAACCCTACGCCCAAAAATAGCTAAGACATGTCAGCACTGTCTAGTAATCTTACTAAGGGTAGATAGTAATCCCCAAAAAGTTCAATTTCATAAAACAATTAAAATATATTAAAAGGGTGCAGGATTCTCCTCGAAATTTGAGGTGGGAAAGTAACTATCTTACGGCCTCTGAGGCTAACTATCTTACGGCCTCTGAGGCTCCGCACAAATCGTAGGCCCTGCGCAAAGAGGAATTTTTGGGGGAACACTGGACCAATGTTCAGACCCCAAAGCCATTAGGTTTTACTATTTTTGTTGTTTTAAGTTCCCATTCAACTTCAGTATTCCTCAAAAATATATAATTTTCCCAAACATGAATCCAGAAAAATTACGAACATATTATGGTCTCAATAAGCATATGTCAGGGATTTACGGCTCTGACTGGATAGTACTGATAAAATCCAAAAATGTCCAGAATCTCCAGAAACTCTACTGGAATATGCCATTCTGGGTCGGTTTGCCCTGGATTCTCCCCTGCGTTTTCGTGCCATTCATCCCTTGCAACCTGCTCACTGGTGAACATATACCTTTGGCTCAAATACACATATATCACACGTTGTCAAACATGCATATATATATAATTGTACAGTGTGTATATATATATATGTATATCCACCATAGACCTGCCGGACCATTGTTCCATGGCCCCACAAATAGTCCCTTTTGATTTCTTGGAATGTTTAGGGCGCCGGAGATCTGAAACAAACCAGTCCCCAATGGCGCCTTTGCAAAAGCGGTGATGGGGTACGGATTCGTGACAGCCAAGGAGACGGAGTCCGCACTTCTTTTGCCTGTGTCGTCCGTAGAGATGTCTGAAACAAGACACATCCTATATTAAGGAGACGGGTAAATCATAGTTATATAATAGTGCAACTAGTGGTTAATAATTAGTAGTTATCGCAATTTAACATACTATATACTACTAATTCATGAGGGTCTTCTATATTCTGGAAATCATTTCAGATTTGAAAAAATGAACAGGCAACCATCTGTTTTTGCCTCCAAACAATGGGTGTTCCTACCAAATGTCCTTCTTTCGGTAGCATCTGGCAGTCGTGGCACAAAATCATTGGACCAGAAGATGTCATGGTTGGATGGTTTGAGACGCTCGGAAAAAAAAGGATCTTAGCAATTGAATCAACCATCCCCCAAACTGACACAGACACTGAGCTGAGCATCCATGTTTAGAGGAAAGTAGTCTTCCAGTTCCTATTTGATCATTTATCAAAACACCTCTTGATTAATTATGATAGGGTTATACTCTCCAATATATACATTGGGGATATTTGGGGATTGTCACAATCCACTATGGCGGAAATTTTATGGAATTCCTATCCACCAACTAGTAGGAAAACAATCAAATCATCACCGCGAAATCCCCGGGAAAATCGCCATCTCCCCATCTGGTTGGTGGTTTCAACCTACCCCTCTGAAAAATGATGGAGTTCGTCAATTGGGATGATGAAATTCCCAGCTATTATGGAAAATCATAAAATTAATGTTCCAAACCACCAATCAGCCATAATGTTGGATTTGTCTCAAAATAGAGAGAGCCCCCTTTTTTGCATTTGATGATTTTCCCTCTCATGATGGCAATGTTGGGGTACTAGATGGTAGTATATCCCAATTTTTAGACACACCCAAACATCATGCAATATACAGTCGATTACTGTATTTCAATGTATATCAAATATATATATATATATCATTATATATCCAATTTTATTCCCACAAAATGGATTAATAATGATTCATATATATATGTATGTGGTTTCCCCATTGACACACCATCAAATCCCCAAAGAACCACCATTTCCCCAGGTGAATTCGAGGGAACCGAGTGGCTGTGTTCCAGGGCTTTGTCTCAACGCAACGCGGCGTCTCGGAAGTGGGTGACGCTTCCGGTGTTCACAATTTGGCAGGTTATAGCAACCCCTAAAAAGATAGAACATATATCATACTTATATAAGTAGTCATACATCGTGTTCTATCTGTTTCATTCTTTTTTTGGGGTTAGCAGGAAAAAACGTGTTTTCGCCAAGAAAAGAAGGCATTGCACCAGTCTTTTCGCAAACTTTCGTGATCGAGGACAAGGGAAAAGGGATCATCGAGAGGCATTTCAATTTTCTCCACGGTGGGCCCCGTAGATAGCTAACTTGGCTTTTCTCACCAGCTTGACTACCAGTATTATGGTAATATACATATATATATATATGCGAGATTATGCGATATTATATATATACATAAATAATACACGTGTATATATAATTATATGTTAATATATAATTATGTGTATATATAATTATATATATATATATCATATCTATAGTCCATGAGGTTTATAGACCAACAAAGAAAAAAGGGAGCACGACCTTGCAGGTCTTTTTGTGATGATTGGTTGGCCAAAGCACGTCATAGCCCCGGGGGAACTCGGCGTCAGCGAGGCCGTTCTCAGCCTCGCAAGCCATGCCCCAAGAAAGTCCCGGACGTTCAATGGATTGATTCAAGTCAAAATCTACAGTTGTCTTACAGTTATAAGTTATAAATGTCTTTCAAAAAGGTGCTTCCCGTAAATTGTCCATGGTTATTAACATTTATTAATCCACAAATCTATTGGTTTCAACCCTGCGACCACAGCCCACTGGTTTCAAGTTCGCAAGTCGGCAAGTCCCATGATGAATCCAAGTCCGGGAGATGAACAACCCATCAACAACGACAAGGGAATTTAACGCATAGAAATAAGAGGAAATTGAATTCCTTAAGTCAATATAATAAGGGAAAAATAAGGCTTTTGGTTAAGGGTCAATCAATTTCCCCTTTTTACTGGTCAATTTCCCTTGATTGGTCAATTAAGGGGAAATTGTCTAATAAAAAGCTTCAGGCTTAGTCTATGAATGATCATGGGGATTGAACATCTGCGAGAATCTGTGAACGCATTCTCTCCTAGGGACTTGCGCAACTACAAATCAGGATTTGACCAACACAAGGGCAAAATTTTCACCATGAAGTAATGTCGGGGGTGAATAATTTTGAGCAATAACCATGAACGGGTTGGTTGTAGTGAAGTTCCTGCAAATTATCCGAACGTTTAAATCATCTTAGAAGGGGCACGTTTCTAGTGAGAGTTCTGTGTAAACCAAATCTGCCAAGGAACAGCAACCATGAGTTCTAGTGCTCCACCTGAGAATCGCTGAAGGATACCCCCGGATGTTGTGGCCCGGGAAAATGATGGGAAAAACATGGGAAAGACAATCGAATGCCATGGAGTCTTCCCCAACATATTCAGACAGACCATGACAAAACCATATATATGGAGCATGTATGTGGGGATGATGACCAACCATCACTATCATTTACCCAACTTTCATTCTTATCATTGGTCGCCGTCTCTGGCGGAAGTTCCCATCCAATCCAGACCCTCTGAAAACTGAATTACACCAGAAAACCCAACACAAATAGGATTGGAAAATGAGTTACTGAACATCTCCATTTTAGGGTTCCACCTAGAACTTCGGATGTGACGGTGGTATTCAAAATCATAAGTCTATCTGGAGAAAACATCAATGACCTACCTCAAACGGTCGGCCATGAATTGGGAGGGCGCGACCGTTGTGACGCCTTTTTCGAGGGTTCCACGGTTCCCAATTTGGGACACCGAAATTTGCGTTTCCAGGATATTGATGTTCATCATTGATAGTTCTATAAAATATTATAAAATCATCTATATATTTCCGACGATAATTTCCAAATGATGATATTTACCTCAAAATTCCAAGGTTTCCAACTTTTGGGCATCTACCCTCTGGTAATTTAACATAACTATGGAAAATCACCATTTTTAATGGGAAAACTCACTATAAATGGCCATTTTCAATAGCTACGTTAAAAATCCAGAGGGTAAAATTCATGGGAGATTGACCAACCTAAGAGCGCTGGCCATGCATCTCTGATGAAGGCATCCCGGCAGACCTCTCTGCAGTGCTCAGAAATCAAACCCTATGAATCTGAAGTTTATAGTGACCCTAAAAAGAGATAGAAAAGTAATGTGTATATATATGTATATACACTGCATGTATCTACGTGTTACTACTATTTTAGTAGGATTTTACTTTTTTATCTTTTAGGGGTTGCTATAATGACTTAACCCATCACGCAGCGTTCGGTCGCCAAGGGGCACTTCGGAAGACGG